TATTAATAAAAAGCAGTCTTAAATATTCTGTTTTTAGTAAAATTGAAATTAAATCTATTAATTAAAGGTAGGAATCATTACGGGCTAACACCACTAAGTTTTCTGCTAGGGAAAAAATCCCTAGCTTATCCCTTTCAATGGTTCTGTCTTCAGTAAACCTCATATATAAAGTAAGTATACTATAATTTTATTATAAACTTTTTACTAAAAGAAATATAAAATACATCTTAAATGAAACAGAATCCAATAAATCCTGTTTTATTCAATTTTTTTTCATTGTTTCTTCCAGGAAGAGTGATTTAAAAAATATTTCCAATGGAATAGAATCTAAAGAAACTTTTCTCACAATTACTTACTGAATAAATTAATTATTATCTAAATTTATTCTACTTTTTCTATATAAAATATTGTTTTTTTTCTTTTCTTTAGCGCTCATTCAAATATAAGAACTATAATTACAATGATAACGCTTTCAGTAAAAGAAATTAAAAGATATCTCTAATAAAACAAGATCTAAAGAAAATTTAGAACCTGTTTTCTAAGATATCTTTTAAATTACTCAACTGATATTCTTTAAATACATTATCTATCCGAATAACTGACAGTTTTCCTATATGTCACCTAGATTTATTTAGTTATCGCTTAGCTATTTTTTATTTTTTAAAGATTTTCGTCAATTAACTCTATTTGTCCTGATACTTTGGGAGTGTTTACTTTAGTAATATGTCTGCCCTAAGGTCCAACAAATAAAAAAAAAAAAATTTTTACCTCTATAAGGTTTTAATGCTTGTTTTTTCTGAGGTTATGTGATAAAACTTTTTAAAAATATTTAAATATGTAATATATATAGGCTAAATTATTATCTATATTAATACGTTTAAAATTAAACAAACTTTTTATTAAATCAAACTCTTTTTTTGCTAGAAATTAATCGTAAAAGTTGAAAAAACAAGCTTCATATCAANGGTAGGGATAAATTTACAAGATATAAGGCTTCATTTTTGGGAACGGGACTGGACGAAGGACTAGACAATCCACTTAATTCCAGCGCTTGATTTTCCTATATATAAATTACCTTGTTATTTAGATAACCCAAAAAATAAATTAAAAAAGGGAGGGATAAATTTACAAGATATAAGGCTTCATTTTTGGGAACGGGACTGGACGAAGGACTAGACAATTCACTTAATTCCAGCACTTGATTTTCCTATATATATAAATTACCTTGTTATTTAGATAACCCAAAAAATAAATTAAAAAAGAGGATAAATTTACATAATATGTGTCTTCCTCTTCTAAACTTTTCAAATTGGCAAACCTCCTTTTTTCGTATTCTTCCATTTGTTCTTTCATCATGTTTATATAGTTATTGTATTCCTGCGAGTTTCCAGAAGCTTCCTCCGCATAACCCTCAATTCCTTCTCTTACATAGTCATCGTATTCCTGTTGCATGCAAATGCAATAGGAATTACGAGACTTCTTGTTTATAAGTAATTCTTTATACTTAGAATTTTTTACCCTATTAGAGGCATGCTGGAGAATGTCGTTATTCCCNATATTTTAAGATTTTTAACCATAATCAAGATGTATAACTTTACAGAAAATAACTCCATCAACGTCTATACTTCATTGAGTTCGTATTTATATATTAAATTCCATTGAGATTACATTTATAATTAGACATATTTCATAAATATTCATCCCATAATTTTTTATGTCTTGTGAAATAATAATAATAATAATGTGATACAATTACATAATATTACATCAGATCTTGCTTGATATGTATAATAGACTATAAGGTTTATAACAGATAACTCGACGCTGTATGCTGTTAATAATACAGTTTTGTGAATTATATCTAGAAAAATAAATGAGAAAAGTTATCATATTTTAAAATTATTTTCATTTTTTGTTTATATTTTCCTTTTTATGAAGAGAATTACACTGCCTGTAAATGAATCTGTATACCACAAAATGAACTTCCATTAATCTCCTTGTAAAGGATCCGGTAAATTGTATAACATTTTTATAAATTTAGAAACATGTTTATATTAATTTTATAATAAAAATGAAATGAAGAGGAGATTATATTTAGATAATTTCATTCACAATTTAGCCTTAGAGTCGGCATCTACTTTATTCAAAGTCGTAAGAGGAGTGAGCTTCAGTTACTACTTATGAATTGTTTACTTAATGTAGACTATTTAATATTTCTATCGTTAATTTAATTAATTTAAATATCGAATTTAAGGAAATTTATTATTTTTTTTTATTTAATATACTTTAAAAATTTTATCTTAGATTGGAATTAATGTGATTTAATAAAAATTTATTACAAAAAACAATAGGCAAAATATTAAGGTAGGCCTAAATGTAGGCCTACTTTAATGAACCTATTATAATATTTGCATTTAAGAAATTGTTTATTAGAAAGTAATTTAAATAAAGTTGATCTTAATTCTAACGAATTAGAAGTTTTTATAAAATGAAGTTCAATTAAACTTTATTCGCCTTCTTAACCTACTATTAATTGTATTCTCCTAATTTTTTAATTATTCAATAGCTATGAGATAAAAGCTTATCTTCATCAAATATCAGTGTAATGAATATACTGAATATGTCTTGTTATGAGTTTAATTTCTTCGAAATCGTTCAATAATAGATTGTTGTTAACTTCTAGAAATTAAAATTACTGCCTGAAGTAAATTAAGTTCTAGAATTCGATAATACAAAGTAAATTAGTCTAATATAAAAGTAAATAGAGAGAATAGTTGTCTAAAATTTGATTAACCTATTTAGCGATATTATCTAAAATACAGTAAATAATTTTTGATTTAATTCAATTCAAATTTACTTAAACCAGCTNAAATAACCGTTTCTTCCTATATTGTTTTATTTTTTATTTTCTTTTCTTTCCTTCTTCTTCCTCTTCTTATTTCCTTTCTTTTCCTCTTCTTCTTCTTCTTATAGTTTTGTGCCAGATAATTATATTTTAATTAATTTAATTCATTTAAAACAAAAAAATTCGGAAATCGAGTTAGCTTTTTAGTACTTTCTTCTGTATCGTAGCCTACGAAATCTCCTATTTAAGGTCCCGGGACATTTGCTTATTTCCTCATCTGTCTTGCTTTTAGGACTATTGAATTACACTCACCTGAAGAATTTTTAGAAGAATGTCGATGAGAACCCGTAAATTTACTAGGGTCGAGGATGTCGTCTACCGAAAAAGGTGTATGACCCAAAGGGGTATGTTGTTGTACACCTTTAGCCAAACAATCTTCAACATCTTTTTCTTGAAGTTGAGAGGAACCGTTAGCCAGCATTTCATCCATCCCGACTCTACACCAACATCTTCGAATGTATATATTTTTTAAGAGTTTAAAAAATAATTCGAACGAAATATCGAAGAATTAAAAAGAAGCGATGATGATAAAGCGGCTGGACACAGCCTGATAATGGGTCATCCAATTACATGATGGGTTGAGCACAACTGGACGATTAGCACGTACTGAACATCGCTGCTCTTCATCCCAGAGAAGGTATGGTTATACGCATGCTCGCTGCATCCTCCATACTTTGACGATTTCGGATGCTGGATGAGGGGTTGGGTTTCTCTCTCATTATGAAGTTGTCTTTCCATTGGGTGGATGCAATTTCGATTTAAAACCCCCCCGACGACGTAACTATAAACGGATTAAACCGCAAAGGGGGGAGGAGGGGAAATAGAAAACATATCAAACGAATAATATGAGGTAGAATATTTTCTCTGAATTTTACTAATCTACACGTTAGACAAAACTCATCCGAAATAATTAATCTAACTTAATTAGACTCTCTTTAACATTAAAATGATTAGAATAACTTTAATTATTTTCAGCTAAATTAAACTTAAGTCTCTAACTTAACGCATAGATTAATTGTGTAAAACATTAGCGTACAGTACAGTACAATCGAATTCATTTTGACTTTTTTTTTTTTATTTTTTTCTTTAAATTAATTAATTTTTTACTAATTAAATATTTTAAATTATGGTAATAATTTAAGTTCATTATTTTACTGCTCTAAAATCATAAATAATAACTATAATTTTGTATTAAAATGTAACAAATTTGTTAAAATTCTTAAAATTTTTAAAATTGAGTGAAATTTCTTAAGTATTGGCTGTCTCTATGATTAAATTAAATACTAAATTACTTAATTTTTACTTGATTTAGTACTTAATTTCATACGTTTTGCAGGAATCAAATAGTAATTTGTAGGAGTTGAATCACTTGATTTATACAAATCAAGGGATTCGACTCCTACAAATCAACGTTTTTTTTTTTTTTTTCTTTTTTGAATATCCAACCTTATTAAAGCTTCATATAACTTATGATAAACAATAAAGTCTAATCAATGTACAGTACAGTATAACGCACCTGTGGGCCATTTTATTTATTTGTTTATCTAGTATTAAATAGATAACACATATTTCTTAAGGCTATAAAGAGTAGATTTGATCACACCAATAATTGAGTTTTTTATATTTTCAATAATTTTTTCCTTTATTTTTCTTAAAAATCTTCTTATTGTTAGGTTTTTTTAAGCAATTTAATTCTTTATTTTCGGGACGATTTTAAATTTATTTTAATTTTAATGAGTGATTTATACTGTATTCGTTTAGTATATAAATTTCCAACAATGACAATGATAATGATGATAAGTTTTAAGCTTATAAATCATATAATTATCTTAAAATGTTGTTTATAGTCTATATAAATATCAGAAATAACTTTAATACGTGGGAAAATATAGGCCTATGTATTAACAATCATTACTTAAATAGTTAATGATTATTTTATCATAATTTAATATATAATTAAAAAACACGTTAATTAATTATATTAGTTATATTCTAAATTATCTTTGTTTAAAATAAAGATACAAAAGCGATAAGTAAATATATCAATGCAGAGAGATTTTTACAAGTAAGCAACTATTCTTCCTTCAACATTCACCTAGGAATAACATTGTTGTTAGAGTTCGGAGAAGTGGAGAGACTTTTATCGAATCCAACCAGATCTTCAATGACAGCTGACGACGAAAAGACGAATGTTCTTAGCTCTTCTTAAAAAATATTCTAAGAAATTTTTATACAATATAAAATCCATTTATCTATACAATAATTAAAGACAATACAGTTAATTGTTTAATTACAATATGGCTGCTATTAATTGTTTGTATAATGTTTCGTTTTAGATAGCTTTCATGACTTTATTCTTTAAATAATTTTATAATATATATATATATATATTGTGGAGAGAAGCGGGTCTTTATTNTTTAATCGAATTTTTTAATGAATATTCTTATTATATTAAATATTTATAGTATTTTTTACGGGAAGAATTTTCTATATTTTTATCGGTGCAAAAAAAACCGGCTAAAGAGTAATATAATCTGAAAAAATAAATAAAATCTAGTAAATATCAGATGAGTAATCAAAGAGAATATTAAATTAATTCCTTTTTAAATCTCGTGTTTCATTAGAGAAGTACACCATTAACTGAATATGGATATAAATGATTAATATAAAACCAGAAAAGTTAAACTTTTAATATAATGAAACTGAAGATAATATTTATGAAAAGTTTTTCTTTAATGTAGTACGCTTGAAAGATAGACCAAAAAACTAAATAACCGTTTCTTCCTATATTGTTTTATTTTTTATTTTCTTTTCTTTCCTTCTTCTTCCTCTTCTTATTTCCTTTCTTTTCCTCTTCTTCTTCTTCTTCTGCCTTTTCTTCTTCCTCCTCCTCCTCTTCTTCCTCCTCCTCTTCTTCTTCCTCCTCCTCCTCTTCTTCTTCCTCCTCCTCCTCTTCTTCCTCCTCCTCTTCTTCCTCCTCCTCCTCTTCTTCTTCCTCCTCCTCCTCTTCTTCCTCCTCCTCCTCTTCTTCTTCTTCTTCTTCCTTCTCTTCTTCTTCTTCTTCTTCTTCCTCTTCTTCAACAGAGATAAAATCATTCGCTTATCGTTAGTTCGCATCTATATCGTTTTAAATATCCTTAGACCTTTCTATAATAATATAGTTACTAGTTAATATCATTATTGACATTAAAACGAAAACTACATTCTTAATCGAATCAATTTATTTTTCATATTATTTAAATCAGAATGGAACGATACGCCTATGGGCACATTTAAAACCGTAGCGAATCGGAAGACCGAAGACACGACGACAATATTAATTTTACAAATAGGCAATTAAAGCATAAAAGCTTCATGCCGTGAAATCCGGAGAAGAGAAGATCACGTGTCAAGTGTCAGCCTTATCGAGGAGGCTAGTGTCGGATTAGTAGCGTTTCAACGAAGGCATGCAAACAGCTGATAAACTAGGCGCTGAATGAAGGCCTCTAGATCAATCGCCTGCTATAGAAGACTCCATTGAATATAAATTATTCAATGAAATGCTTTTGTATACCATTTCTACATCGCGAAAAAGGGGATTAGCGAATCTTTCTTCCAAGGGATTGAAAATATTGTTGAAATCGCTTCTATTCTCTGTTTGTGTTGCGATTGGATGCTTTGCAAGAATGATATTTGGCATTTATTGTTGCTACTTCCAAATATAGTTTTAAATTGCTTACTTCAAATACTGTAAAACGATACAATTACATTATTTTAATTTAACTAATTAGGCCTAATTCCCTTAAGAATTTTCCATTCAACTTTTATTAGCAATTTTCCTGTAAAACTTCTTGTAGTTTTCTCCAATTACTAACACAGTTCTATCAATTTATACTAATTAATTTAGTTAAAAATTATGTTATTTTAATTTATTATAATTAATTAAGATAATATTTAATTAAACTATACGGTAAAGTGATAAGCTCTAAAAGAAAAGGGATGTAAGCTATGTAGAAGACGAAATATATAGCCTATTATTATTATTATTTTTTTTTAATAAATCTCCGGAGTTGTCGTGTTTTTTAATTTAATTTCCTAAGGAAATTTAGAATTAATTTACTAAATTCATTATTAAATATTAATTTTTTTAGTGAAATGAGTCCTATGACAAACCACAGAAGAAGCAATTCGAAAGCAATTTCGAGTAAGAAAAAAAAAGATAAAAAATATGTTTAGTATGTACTAAAAATGGTATGAAGAAAGATTTTTCTCATCTCACAGGACCTGTCAACTATCCGCGAATTGATAATTGAAGAAAACATATAAATTAAAGCCTCATATCTACAATTAAAGACAATAAATATTGTATTACCCGTAGAGTCTGGTGTTTTATTACGTGTTGCTCCTCTTTCAATTTTTAAGCAAAAAATAAGAGAAAGAACCGTCTCTTCCATCTTCCTTTGGGATTAAGTTTGATTAGATGAACAGTCAAGAACTAATTAGAAAACAGAGTCAATAACTTTCCACGCTTTTTATAATATTTCAATGTACAAATGAGACAGAAATTGTTAAGGAAAGACGAAAAACTCGGTGAAAATTTAATAAGAAAAATCATTTCAATTAATAGAAACTTTAGTCTTGTTATAAATCACAATATTTCAATCAATATAAATATTTTAGTTAATTTTCTTGTTGTTGTTGTTGTTGTTTTTTTTTTATTAAATTTTTAAAAATACAATAATTAAATTCAACTTAAATAACGATATGTTTTTTTTTTAAAGTTTTATTACCAAACTTATTACAATTATCACTCACAAGAGATTATTTGAATTCTAAAATTTATATTTATATAAATTCATTTATTTTCCTAAATTAAAATGATTATTTTTAATTCAAATTAAAATATTTAATTAAAGAATTAAAGTAATTTATTTTAGGGTTTATATACTGTATGTATAAAATAGAATGTCTGTTTGTCTATTTTGTGTATATCCTAGCAATACGGAATTTTTTATAATTACTCTCTAGGACCCTGTGGAAAAAGGGTCCTAGAGCATTTCACTCCTACCTGAATTCATCATCAGTTTTTTTTATATCCAAAAAAATAAGTTAAATCTGTTTTAAGTGCAGTTCCGATTTACAATAAGGTAAACTGCTGTGTTAAAGTAACGTTAACACAGTAGTTAACCTGTTTTGAAGTACAAAAACTTAGATTTGTATCGGTCGGATTTTGATAGGAAGGAGGTAAAAAAAAAAAAAAAAGAATTTGCTTGTTCCAAGTAAAGAAACCAACAAAGTCAGACGATCTTGGCTTAATGGTTCATCCATTGGACACCATAACGCCATTTTATCAATCTACTGTTCAATCGGCGACGTAGTACCTGAGAGAGTACATCAATCTCTCCACAACATGCGGGAAATGTGGGCAAACAGTAGATTTTTGTCGGTTGATACATCTGTGTAATCGGAAAGACTTGCCTGGAAGCGATGCTTCCTTCTTCCTTCATGATTTGTTGACAAAAAGCTTTCCATCTATCCCGATGTATGACCGAAAGAACATAAATTTAATTTGTTAGATAAATACAGAACACTGTATGATGTCAATTAAGTTAATCCCTATCAGTCGGTCGGGTTCCCTTGGGAATTAAGGGTCTCTCCGTGCTCCGGGCTATCCTACTTTCCTCTGTTAAATAAATGACTTTTAATATTCTATCCGGAAAATGTTTTTAATATAAAATTTTCTTTTACTGGAAATGAACCAGATAAGTTAGTAATTCATCTTTCTTCATCTCTTCGCTTTAACTCTGTTTCATCTCCATTCGTTTTCTTCTGAAAGCATAAATTACATTCGCATTTTCAACTGCTAAAATAACTTTTTTATATTTTTAAGCGTGTAGATTTTATATTTATTTATAAAAATTTGAAGTTATTTCATAAATTAACTCTTAATTTATTATAAAATCGGTATTCGAGACGATCAACGAAAAGTTGAGTTGTTTTCCTTCGAGCCTAAATTCTCAATGTAAATATATCCTTTGAGGCATTAGAGTGTTGCTTCTATTATAATATTTCATTTGTATTTAGAAATAAATTTCATTTTCTCTTGACATTTTAACGATGATTTATTTTTCCTTAACTCTTTCCACCATGCGGGTACTCTTATGAGTTATATCAAGCTTTTCCAATCTGCGATAGCTGAGAGGGCCTTTCTTAAATCTATTATAAGTTCTACTAAGCCCACACGAAGACAGTAAGATCGGTTTTCATACTACTAAGGGTTTCAGCTAAGCCCGAAATATAGACAACTCTTCCGTATAGACATATTAAGAGAGCTTTTTTTATACTTATCATGGGTTCTTGTTTGTTAAGTTATGGCGATCTGCCTAGGGGTATTCTTAAGGGAAATAGGCCCAGTATTTAGGTGTTACAGACGTGGAGAAAACTCGGAAAACACGTAGCCAACGCGACCGAACTCCTAGTGTTCAGGGTACGAAGACCGCTTGGCCACTGATGGGCACTATCGTGGATTTTATCATAATGGGCTGTTTACTCTCCGCCTTACGATCACTAAGTGGATATTTTTCATGCCATGTTCTACCAATTATGAACGACCCCTCACGAAGGCTACAAAGGCTCCTATGTAAATTTGAACCTAGTTTCTATAGATAGACAAGCTTAAACTTAAATACCTTTATATTTAAATGTTTAAGCATTATTTAGCTGCCGGAAAAGTCGGTTAAATAATGCTTTAATGCATTTAAAGTTATATATAAAAGGCTTTTCGCAATACATGAATGTCCGAAAGACATGTAATTTGAAGAAACCTTGAAAGCAGATGGGAAATTATTACATTGATACTAAAATCGAATTTAAATTAAAAATTTATTAAAGATTTGACTGATTCATTAAAATATCTTTCATACATTAATGTAATGGAATGAAGCAAAAAGTTTGGTAAACATTAATATATATTACATAGAAAACACATTTACAAATTAATTACTTTAATATTTACTTTGTTATATTAAAACTTTGTAAGTATTTTATTAATTAAAAATCATTTTAAAGTTATTACAATTTACATGAATTTTTAATCCATTAAGATAACTTTATTTTAAAATTTAAATAAATTATATTATCGCCCTCTGTTGATAAAGCTTTAAATTATTTATAAAATTCATAAAAGTGATGAATCAATTTTACATCTTATTTCTAAATTATAATAATAACTTTATTTATTATTTAATATTGTATACATAAATTAAATATTAAATTCTTTAATGATTTTTAAAATTTAAATTAATGCTTTAATTAATTTCGTTAAATTTATTCTTGCCATCTATTGGCAGAAATTGAAAATATTCTTGTACTATAGCTCAATGTATTAAGAATTTTCTAAAATGTCGCCATCT